CATCATACTTGGATTCTCATCTTTTAATTTATAGATGACCCCTGACATTCGGTTAGCGAATGTGATTTTTTACCCGCCACAAGCCTTACAAGCGAGACATAGTCCAGCTAGGGATCCTCATTTTTTTTTCAGCACAGAAGTTCACAAAAGTGGATACAATATGGTTATACCATGATGGTTATTATACCATATATATATATATAATGGATATATAACCATATATTATATATATAAACATCCTATTTTGAATGGCGAAATTGTTGATCCCTCTTCAAGGATACACGCAGAAAATGGCAGAAACATCAACTGTTCATCTCAGCAGATCTCCCCCGGCTGCCAGTCCGTGCCCTACGCTTGCGAGGTGGGTAGGTAGGTGGAGGTTGCTGTGGTCGCCACCGATCAATGGAGACTCCTTCTTTTTAGAGTGCTGGGTCAAGAAGATGGTCCTGCTACCTGCAGATTTTTGTGTGTATTATAGTAAACCATGTTTATTTGGAACAGCCAAGTTTAAATCTATCCAGAAAAATGGAATTTGGGGACGCGTTGCAACTTACAGTAGGGCACCAATTCCGGAAATGGTCTTGGTTGCATCACTAGTTCTTGCCAATTCTCTACTTGTTCTTTTGATTATTTGGGTTGTGTGGATATTTTACAGTATTTGAACCTGCTTTGTTGGTTTCATGTTTCATTCAGAGATGTTCACACTCACATTTGTCTGGCGATTGTCTGAATCAACTTTCATATTTTGCAACGAGGTGTAAGCTAATCATATGTCATGAATGGCCCTCACCATGTTACCGTTCATCCAGGCCAATCGCGAGCAGCTAGAGAAACACTGCAGGCAAGGTGTGTGTTTTTGAATGGTAGCATGTCGCATGTCATACACTCAACGTGTGCAGATCTATATCAGGTTGAACATCTGCGGAAGGACTCAGATCAATGTGCTGTAACCAATAATTATCTATATATATATATTAATTATATATATATAGATTAATTATATATATATATATAGTATGTGCCCAGTGCCGTGGGCAAAAATTTGCTCATGTTCCCATGTTGCCAGTATTGGAATTCATCAATCCATTGCCTCATCCCATTGGGGACAAAAATCTCTGCAGATTGACATTGCCGCTGTGACACTTTTGGAGCTTTTTTTCCCATGCTCAAAGAGAATTGGTTGAATATAATTTATCAATTGGCTCAATCACCATTGGAAATGGGGATAAAGTATTGATAAAGTTATATTAAACCATGGTGAATCAAGAAAACCGAGCTTCAACATGGTTTAATATCATTTTATCCCCATTTCCAATGAGTTTCCTGTAGAATTTCCCTCCCAATGCTGACACGCCAGGCCTTACCTCGACAAGGCCCTGAATTTCAAGGTGCCGCACGGTGGTCCTCCAGGAGTTCGAAGAGCAGATGAAACCGTCGAGTTTTGCTTTGAAAATCTTATAAAATCGAATAAACAACCATGAAAAAAAGAATCAGCACAAGGATTTCAATGAGATTTCGTGGCTTCAAAATAAACTCAAAATTCGAAGATCCTCTGTTCATAAATCCAAATGAAATCCCGAAATTCCAAGGCAGAGTTGATGGCGAAGGTGCCAAAGTACACGGATGTGGTGAAGGAGTTGGGCAACCAAGGTGGTGAGGCGGAGATGGCTTGAGATGTTGGGATTTTGCTGACTTCTTCCATATGTTTCATGAGTTTGTTTTTTCCGGTTTAGCTGTTTAGCCATCAAAAATATAGAGCTAGAAGTTGAGGTTCAACCAGGAAACAAGTGTTTTTTCATGGGATTTTGCCAAGAACTATTGGGAGTACAATGGGGATATACTTGTCATACCATGGAGGTATGGGGATGAAGGCTGCCAACTATTGGGAGCAACATCCTGATGAGAATGCATGGATGAGTTTTGGCTGAGTTCATAATGTGAGTATATATATATTTAACATGATGTGATATGATATGATGTGATATGATATGATGTGATATGATATGATGTGATATGATATGATGTGATATGATATATATATATATATGTTTTTATTTGTTTAAAGAATATGGGATTGAAGATCCCAAAAATGGCTCTCATTATATCGGATGGGTTCAAAGCACCTATCAGATGGCTTCTGGCGGGCTGACATGCTGCCGAGCAGGGTCGGGGATGGGTCAAGATTTAAGCTCCGGGATCACCGATTTTACATGGTTTACCCTCTGGTTATGACTAACATAGGCATGGTATAGATGGCCCATAGAAATAGATGGTTTACCGTTCTTAAAAATGGTGGATCTTTCCATGGCGAACTGTTAAATAACCAGATGGTAATATGAACCATCCAGTTATTGGGGCACAAAATATGACTTGACTCATATCCATCCCCATCAAGCCAGGGTGCCAATTGACCAATTGATGTCTTGTATAAATATACAGACCTTACCCTCTGGTGAACTAACATAGCAATGGAAAGATCCACCATTTTTCATGGGAAAATCCACTATAAATGGCCATTTTCCATAGCTTTTTGTATGTTCACCAGAGGGTAGTCGTCGCAACTTGACAACTTCAGCTCCGTTTCGCATCCAGGATGAAACGGATCATGATAGATCTCCCAGTTCCATCATGTGAAACATTGTGAAAGCCATTACTGCTTGGTGCTGACTGGAACATAGTGATTAATAGTGACTAATAGTGACTAATAGTGGTTAAATCCCTGGTTGGTGGTTTGGAATATATATATATATTCTTCCATATATTGGGAATGTCATCATCCCAACTGACGAACTCATATGTTTCAGAGGGGTAGGTCAACCACCAAGCAGATGATATCAAACCGAATCAAACCCATAAAATGTCAGATCAGATATGTCAGCACCCAGCACCGTCGATACGTCATGATCATGGCATGGCTCTAAGGTGAGATGGCCACAAGGTGGGCAGATGGAAACCAATGGGTTCTTTGGGTTGGGATGGGAAAATCCGAGAAATCGCTGGAAAAAATACCCATTTTGTGAATAGAAACGAAAGGCTCATAGAATTGGATGATTTTGGATTTGTTTAACTGGTTTAAGCCCGTCATATTTGATGGTAAAAACTAAAAACCATGGTTTCCGGTTAAGATTTTCCCTTAAAACAATCCAATGAAAAGGTTTAAGTCTTTGGGGCTGCGAACACAGTTGATGTGTTTTCCTGTTTCTCGTTTTCCTGTCGGCAAATGTGCTGCTGTATTTTCTCAGACTTGTGAAGGCGAACCGCGAATCCAGAACTTGAGCAACTCCCGTCTATTCAGCACACAAAGTTATTGCGCACATTACACCATATTACCAGTGATGTACACATTTGTGTATCGGGTGTTATATATACGTATATATTACATAATATAAGATAGCGTACATATCTATACAATGATACAGTGTGCAAATACACAAAGTCTGCAACTTCCATAGAGTCCCCGATGAAAAATGGCTCACCTCCCTGCGCATAGGTAAACGGGGCGCCCGGGAAACCGGCCGTGACTTTGGTTGCGCAGTGCGCGTGAGGAATCACCGAAGTTTCACCCTCAGGACAGGACGGAGTCCCAAGGAGTGATCATTTGCCGACCTCTTGGGTTTGTGGGATGTATGTTTACACATTTTAGCCTCTGGTAAACATACAAAAAGCTATTGAAAATGGCCATCTATAGTGGATTTTCCCATTAAAAATGGTGATTTTCAATAGCTATGTTACATTACCAGAGGGTAATACATGATACAATATCACTATATGATATGGCAGTTGATATGATATATGATATGATATATGAGATATATGATATGAATATATGATTATATGAGATTATACGTACACATATTATACTAGAAAACATTTGTCTAATACTGATATTCTGATACGGTACGCAACTTCAACGGTTCAATGTGGAGAAGGTTCAAGTCTGATTGCAAAGCTGCACCACACTACTCTGGGTTCTGAGATGTTCCAGCATAACTTTGCTCTTATCCAACTGCAAAAAGTATTTAACAAGGACTGACTGATTCATACTAATATGTGTTCACCTCTAAAGCGACAGCTTGATCGGTTCTTCGAAGACTACAGAGTAAGAATGTTTTGCTGTAATTGTTCTGGTGAATCTAGGGTTTCCTGCAATTGTTCTCTTAGAGCTCTCGAAATTGATTGAAACTTCCAACTCTTTGCATTTGCACCTTTGGCACGTTGCGGTGGACAGAGAACGCCAACGGAACAAAAAATTGGCCGCACTGCTGTGAGGAACAACTAGCTGGAAACCGTTGTTTTGTTCATAGACCAATTCCAAGTTCACACTTTTCTTTCGGTACGAAGAATCTTACCCTCTGGTTATGTCAAAATAGCTATTGAAAATGACCATTTATAGTGGATTTTCCCATAAACAATGGTGATTTTCTATAGTTATGTTAATTTACCAGAGGGTAGTTTTTATGGTCAGTGAACCAGTTTGACCCTTCCATCCTCGTGTGCTTGAGCCTCGTCCCAAGAACAGCCAGAGACGCCGACAGCCGCTGTGAATGGAGTGTGGGATCGGAACATATGGATATGGGTCAAAATGGAAGACCTAGGGGACCACAGATGTTAGTCTAGTTTAGTATTAACCATCCAATTATTGGGGTACCTAATTTTGACCCTGACCCATACCCATATTTCTGTGTTTTCCTGGAAACAAGTTTGGCAACATGGTAAAGCCATTCACAAATATTTACAAACCATAGTCTCTATTTGCTCATGTTTTTTTTTGCATGGGGGGGTATTAAAGATATGCCCCGAAAAGGGATTTGTTTGTGGATTGACCACATTTATTGTGGAGATCAGAATCAGTCGCTGGCTTTGCAGAATTCGAGTCTCAAAGTGAACGTCTCTGGATGTCGCATGCTTCAGAGATGCTTATCGTTGTTGAACTATGGAGCTTATCTACCTGTACTCATGGAAAGCAGCCAGCAATGGCAGATGACACAGGCACATTTGGACTTCTTCTGCTCTAGATTTTTGGCGTTCCGCTGCTCTCAACCATGGGGGTTGCCTTGTCTCGGCCTTGGATTCTGATCGCATGTACGTTCAAGATGTTCAAGCTTGGCAGTGGCGCTGTTTGGGTGTGTGTTGCCTTGTGAAGACATACAGCTAGTCCAAATACCATATCGGTGATTACATTTGTCTTTTTTTGGTCACTTATGTCGCACCTGCCAAGCGGGGGTCTCTAGGTTTCATGATACCAACTGCTCCTCTTCCTCCACAGTTGGAGGGATCACTCGAAGAACATAATTCAGACTTATTTATCTGGAGGTTTCCTTCAAAACAATGGTACCCGAAAACCATGGGTTTCAATCCTAAAATGGTCTAATTTTGGATGATTTGGGGTACCCCTGGTACCCCCATGACTTGGGAAATCTCCATTTATTTCTGCCTCAGGAGCCAGTGCGGTTTCCGGATGGAGCATTTCAGCCTAGGCCGAGATGGGACAGATAGGACCCATTTTTCATTGGTGTTTTGTGAGAGAAAATGATGATTACCCTCTGGTAAACATACAAAAAGCTATTGAAAATGGCCATAGAAATAGTTGATTTACATATTAGAAATGGTGATTTTCCATAGTTATGTTAGTTTACCAGAGGGTAACCAAATGTGAATGGGACACCACATTTTTAATGGGGTGGCAATGGGGGAAAATGATGATGGACTTTGTTATAGAGAAAATGTGAATGCAGTTGTTGTTCCCTAATTTTTCAGACGAACCCACACTTTGTTGATTTTGTTGGAAGTTGGAGGAATGATGCTTGTGTTTTTGCTGCTGTGTCATGTTTGAATGATGTTTGATGAAATATGAGTAACTATTGGGATGGTTCGGATATTTGGATATATTTGGTTGCTTCTTTTGGATTTATCCTATGCTGTAAAAGTGGCTAGTGAAGGTTAGAAAGGGCACAGTACTGAGTACTGAGAATAAGGCATGATAACGCAACATGCTTGTGGTCATTGTCGCAGGGTAGGAGGGTATCCAGAGTGGGTTATCATATTCCGGTAATTTCGTATACGTTCCAATCTTTGGGAAATTAAGCATCACATGATTACATTGTGATGGAAAAATCTTATTTGTTGGTGTTTAAGTCCTAATTTGTGTTGGTTAAGGTCCCACTGTCTGATGGCAAAATGACAAATCTGTTCATCAAGCATTAGGACTTGACCAATCACATTTCGGACTTCACCAACCATGGATATCAGAAACTAAAATTTACGCTCCGGTAATCAAACGTGGCAATGGAAAATCCCCCATTTATAGATAATTATAGATACCCTCTGGTTATGACTAACGTAGCCATGGAAAGATCCACCATTTTTAAGAAAGGCAAACCATCTACTTCGATTAGGGCCATCTATTTTCCATGGCGAACTGTTAGTCATAACCAGATGGTAATTATTCCACTAAAACCTTCATTTAGCTTCAGGACTTTCCATGATTCTCCAGCCATTTTCCAGCCATCCCCATTTTCGTTGGTTAAATCCCTATGAATCGACAGAAAATCCTTTGAATTCCCATTAGATTCCATTCAATTTCTAATAACATCAACATTAAATCACTATAAAATCCTATGAATTCCAATTAAATCCTGTTAAATCCTTATTAGAATCCCATGAAATCACCATAAAAGTCTCATTTTTGTTCCAACTCATCCTGGCAGGTGCCGTCGCCGACGTAGACAGTCAGGCCGGGACCCGGGACCCTGGGGAGTGCAGATTCTTGGATTTCTTAGGCCCAAGTTTGACCCATATCTCAGACCTAGGGACCTAGAGTTGGGTTTAACATGGTTGAACATGGTGGTTTGACCAACCCTACTTGGGCGATTTGATGGGAGCTTGTGCTAGAAGCCACCAGTTGAACCCCACTGTTCCATGGTGAAGAATCCAATTTGTGGGTCAATTATGGTCATTGCACATTTTGGATGGTAAATGTGTTTCGATTAGTTTTCAAAGTGAAGACCATATTTTTGTGTGGCACAGAATCCATTTGAATTGCACCAACACAAGTGTCACAGCAAGAAGGTCAGCATCTTTGGTGATATCGGATTGATCCGTATTGATTTCGCAGATAGAATCCATCAATGTCCACTAATACCCATTGATATGTCAGAATATTTCGGAATGTCCTATCAATTGTCCATTGAGTTGTCCATCAACACCTGTTAATATCCCATCTGACCATAACCAGATGCCCCCCTAGGAGCTCATGCTGGAAGTCCTAAGCACTGCGGCGGATCAGTCGCAAGGTGCAAGGCGAGTGGGGCTCGCTGTTGGCGACAGCGATTTCACATTCCGAAATTCCGGATTCGACTATCAACAAGGGTGATGTCTCATCTGAAATTGGTGTTTAAAAAAGGGAATATAATTTGAATTAATTTGGATATCTATAATAGACATTCTTTCCGGGATCTGATAGATGTTAATGCATAAAATGTCCCCCTGGCCTGAGGCAGTTTCCGATCTTGCTCCTAGATCCGGCCATGTAAGTCTCTAGGGAACCTGTGAACAAACATTCATACTGTCTCCTTTCCAGGGTGAGTCATGTTGAGCCATACAGATTCATGGTTCAAGATGCCAATGTGTTGTGGCATATATATATACATAATTATATATATTATGTATATATGTACACGTATAATTACATGGAGATAGACACATACATACTTTACATGATAAAAAGAATACACATGTCCCATTTTGTTGGCAAAATCACCAGGCCCAGTCGCCTCAAAGAAGCACAGATGTTACAGGTGAGGGGTCCCAAAGTCGGCGAGTTGGGACCGCAAAAAGTAGTTAAGTTGGGACACCAAAAATGATAAAAATGTGGATGACCCCCTCCACCGAAGAAAAAAAACAAACTACTGTATATCTATATGATTATATATATATATACGGATTTCATTGATTTAAATATATATATATATATACAATGTGTTTTAACCATCAACAGTAGGGATTCAATGGATGTAACCAGCAACCATATGTAATTCATTTGTTTTCATTTTTTGATATAATGGGCATATTGGGATACATATAACTTCTTGTCACATTAAATAACCAGACACATGATAGGAACCAAAGGGATTTAGGTATATACCATTATGTAACCCATGTTTGGACCCCCGGTATACCCCAACATTGCTGCGGAAAAATATAGAAAGTGATGCTAAGTTTGGTAGTTAAGTTCTAAGGGCCATGTACGTTCTATATGTTCTTTGGGATCACTCCAATAACCTCATTCCTCAACAATCAACAGCCCCAGACCCCTGGTGGCGCGTATATTATGTGTTCATTTTGAGAACCAAGCGATGCGGGGTCCATGAACCAACCATTATTTGCAGGCGAACACTCCATTCTTGTAGATTACTATCCTCCCACAATTTCCGGAAAATTTACCGGACCCCCTTCTATGTAGAATTGTCAAAACCAGGATTTCGTCGTCTAAAATATGTCCAACAGAAACAGATTCATGCCAGAATTTTTGGATAATTTTTACCGATTCTGACAGATTCTGACAGATTTTGTGACATTCCCTCTCTGGTTGGTGGTTTGGAACATTTTATATTTTCCATAGTATAATATAATATATGGGATGATCCTTCTCATTGACTTTCATATTTTTTCAAGATGGTTAAAACATGTTAAAACCACCAAGCAGCCCTCTATTTTCGTTGGACAATCTGCCAGAAAGTCATGGCGAAAATTGGTGCCACCTCCGGAGGTCATTTCCCTGAAGTCTCCATCCGGACTTGACCCGTCCTCGGTGAAATCCTGGGAAGTCATTGGAGTCTGTAGAGGATTCACCGATTTGTTCTATTTTTCTATAATCTATAAGAACATAGACATACATATATATATATATTATACAGTATATACATATATGTTATATACATATATAATCATATATATATGTGTTATGTGTATATATATATATATATGTAAAATTGTTATTCCATTACCCTAGTGACTGGCCTTTTAAGACATTTTCATACCATCATTTGCCTAAATTGACCTGGGGGAATCCCCATGAAGGGCCCCTACTAAAACAGCAGCCCTCCGCTGGGAGATAGGCAGGCATACATTGACATGGCTGCAGATTGTTACAGCCATACATTGGTAGCTCGCTACTGCGACATGACTGGAATGCTACGTATCTTCCGATTGCCGAACTTTTCATGGTGGTGAATTACTACACTTTGTCCAGAAGCATGACGTTGTGTTTTTCGTTCCTGCTTCTCTGCATTTTGATGCATACAGAGCAGAAGAATCCAGGGCCCTTCATCACGCTGTTTACAGTGTCAACATCATTCATTGTCATTGCTCATTGTTCTGTATGTGGTGAAGTATTGTCTAAGTCTATGTCTGTGCCACATTTATTTCTATGACTTTCTATTCATGTTGATCATGAGCCCCAAGGCCCCAAGCGAAAGTTAAATTTCTGTCAGGGCTGCTCCAATCTATGGTGAATCATAGCCGGGGAGACTCGTCATGGCCGCGCCTAGGAGCCCTTAGGTTTCAGGTGCCCTGGGAGACCTCCAAGGATGATCGGTATCCAACGGTATCAGGGTTTGAACTGAAACATCTAAGAGAAAACATCAGATCATGTCATGAATTATCAGATGTTTGCCTATTTCAAATGGCCCTAAAAGGGATGCTTTGGGGATAGACATGTAAGATACATGTCTTAAAGTTTTGGACATACAACAATGATTTACATGTTCTGTTCAAATGCAGGATGTTTCGAATTTCACTCATGCATGGCTCCGTACTATCCTTAGGACACAAGGGAATATGTTCTTTTGATGGGAGATGGCTGCACAACAATAGTCAGTAGTGATACATTATTTAGGGTTGTCTATCCTGCCAAACACCAAATTCTTTATCACAATCAGAGTCCCGGATTTCCCAGTTATAAGCCCAAATTTGTGGGCTTGTAATCCCACTTCGAGTACCCCAGTCATGCTCAGATTTTTATTTAGGACCCTACTTGGTTCATCCCACTTAGTAGATTATATCCCTACTTATACGTGGATTCATGGATTAAGCCATCTTACTCCACTTCTATCTAGGGATATATATATATATAATTATATATATATATGGCCTACTTAATTAGTAATTAAGTGGTATAAGGCACCAAGTACGTGTGTTGGTCTACTATTGTTTCAACATGTTTGGTAGGTGAAACATGTTGGTCTACGCCAGGTACCGTGACGAGGTTCGTTCCCTTTGGCCCGACGAGTATCGCTTTCAGGCAATCCGCAAAATCTGCTGGGTATACAATTATACAAAATCGAACTATACACGTATACACGATTCAGCTGTATATCAATCCCATAGGATCCATGTATGCTATATATGGTAACATTTACCATCAATATACCCCCAATGTTAGCATATATACCATACATGGATCCTATGGGAATGTATACTCTGACATTTTTGCGGGCGCCGCTTTTAGTTGCCTTTGCATTCTGAGGCGATCCGCATTCAAGTTGTTCCTTGTTTTAAACAGAACCCAGCAACATCAGTCTGTTGCGGACCAGAGAATTTCATGGATCCACCCAAAAAGATGACGGCGGAACACTAATTATCATCATGATAGTACATAGACCCTCCAAGTGCCCATTAGAATGGGCCCCCAAAAAATTTACCATCTTTTGCCCATCTTTAGAGGTACTTGGACTTGGAGGGTCTAGGTATTAGTAAGAAACCTGGGAGCACCGCCGGCAAGGCGTCCAAACGCGCTTGGCAAGTGCATTTGGCACGGCGCCACAGGGGAAGCCAATACAGACAAGCAATGAGGGGTCTATGCCCATGATGGTCCATATGTGTGGTTGTTAACATGTCATAATCCACAGTGGTCCATATATTATATATATATGTGTGTGAATATGGCGACCATAGTAATAATAATAACTGCGATTGATCCCGTTCAAAGCTGGGTAAAGTCAGCTTTCGAGTCATTTTTAGTACCAAAACCCAATCCTCTTTGGGTGGTGAAAAAAATTCTAAGAGCCACAGCTATCCAGCGAAAAACAAAACTGGGGCTGGTTTGGTGGCTGTGATCTACCCCTATTGGCGGATGATTATTTTGGGATTTGGGGAATTAATCTATCCAACGGTGCTGCTATATATGGTGTGCCATGGATCCCATCAATATACCCCCAATGTTAGTATATATACCAGCACCATGGATCCTATGGGTTATAGGAAATTATAATTCATGAATCCCCTGTAACTATCCACTTAGTTAATCAACTCTATAAGCTATTATATACGGGCTTAACCAACCATATCCTGGGAATTATCATCCATGATCGGAAATCCATTCTGAACCAACAGTGCTCAGCTGGACTACAATTTCGGCACCGGATCAGTAGCCATAAGCATTAGATCCAAGTCTGGCAATGTCTGGGTCCGCCGCTACGCCCTGTACCCTCTGGTAAACGTTTACATAACTATGGAAAGATCCACCATTTTTAATGAGAAATTCCACTATAAATGGCCATTTTCAATAGCAAACTGTTAGTCATTACCAGAGGGTAACATGAAAGCTGAACTTAGGGTGCTCCAGGAGAGATGGTTTTGGACTGTACCAACTTTGGACTGTCCAGTTGTGAGGGGTTGGACTGGTAAATTTTGATCATTTCACTACATGCAGCCCCCAAAAAGGTTAGCAATTGGAGAACCTCATGTGGTTTCCAAATTAGTCCAACGTAGAAATGTTCCAATTACTATCCAATTCCAATGTACTATCCAACTTTACAGATTATTCCAATTACTATCCAAGATTATTCCAGTTTGTTCCATGTTTTTTTTTCAGATTCCCCAAGTAGAAAGCTGTGTCATATCAGCTTCCAGGCACAGGCAGACAGACCAGAGGCAGATGGAGTGATCTGATGGGTGACCTGTTGGGTGACTCAACCAACAAAAATAAAGGGATTCAATCAGAAGAATAATGGTGATCTAACTAGATCCAACTAGATCTAAGTAGAGATCTAAGTAGATTTTAAGATGAATTTCAGTGGTTAAACAGAGTTCACTCGGCAGTTGCATAGCTGAAAAAAGCTTATTCATCCAGAAAAAAACAAAATGTTTTTTTTTTTTCAGGGAGGTACCCACTGATGTTTAATGATGTTTATCCATTTTGTTGTGACTGATGGGCATCGACAATCTTCAGTTTTGGAATATAAACCTGTTGACTTAAGCAAACCCACTTTCTGACTTATTTTGGTATAAACATGTGTTCTAAATTGTTTTAATGGTGTTTGATCAGAGGGTAAGGGCTTAAGTAACCCTCCCAAGGTCCCCGGTCGCATCGCTGTGTAGCTGAGCGGCTCGGCAGGGCTTCGTACTTCAAATGGCCAGTCGAAATCAGGAACGAACAGCTGACGCTGTGGCTCTTGACATGGAGGCGCAGTGCTGCGCCTCATCGGGTTGATGGTTGAAGCAATGTCGGGTGAGGTCCGAAAATGGGAGATATACCCCAATGTATGGCAGTTTGAATGGGGAAAATGATATATTATATATATATATATGATATATATATATATGTATATATATATGTAAATCCCATGACTTGGAAGATGCAGATCGCTAATTTCAGATCCATTCATGAACTTCTCTGAAACATATGTAACAGGGTTGCTCCAGCCCGTTTTAGGTCATTGATAAATGATAGCCACAAGGGAGAGGAAATTCATCATGTTACTTTTATATTCAGCCAATTTAACCCAATTGACCCTTGTACCGCACCCCATGATGTTCATTTATTGAGGCTGCGAACTTCCAGAAAATATGTAGGGCAGGTTTGATCGAAGCCCTTTAGTTTTTACTTTAGATTGAAGGTTCAGTTTCCATCATCTAGAATCTAGAACTACCGCAGTAACGGAATCTCAAACTGTCCAGGACTCACTTAAAGTTTCCTCCTATGCACATCGCTTCAATTTGTACAGTCGTCCGGCACCCCAGACTGAGCTGGCAAGGCTAGGGGAGCAGTCCCACTAGCGAACAACAACAGTAGTTATGTCAGTTTATGTGTGTATATAATATATATATATATATATTACATGGTTTTACCATATTTTATGAGGAAACGTGGACTATAATGGGCCTGTCACGGGGTTAGTTTGGGGGTTTATAAATGTTTGTAATCCCTTCCCCCTAATACATGTATGAAGTATAATTGGGCTATATATAATTACCCGGCACTAGAAAACCCTGCTTTAGGGTGTATTTCATATGATTGGGGGATAGGATCGGATCAGATGAAGAACGCCCAGTTTCATTTTGGGAACTACCTGGAGACTGTCATCATGGTGGGCCACTGCGGAAATGATCCGACTGCGGGTTATTTTGGCCTCGATGTTGTAGATTCTGCAAGTATCGTTTGGCTTAACTATTAATATGTGTCAAATCTGATTATCACAAGAACTACATTTGTAATAGCAGGTCATCAAAATTCCTGGCGTGTTGCGGTCATTGAATTTTGACAGATACCCCCTTTCAAGACAATATTTTGTCTTTGGGCTGGCATACTTTGGGCACTTGTAGAGGTTTTATGCTCGAATCGTTTTGGCCGTCAAGCTTATCTTCAAGCAGGTACCGTCATGAGTTGCAGGCCCTTAACTAAAATACGACCTTCTTTTTTGCCCAGGCTTGACAGAAAAGAAATCAAATGTGTCCATGGCTTGCTATACTTACCATATGGGTGTGTCTGAAAATAGTGTAGCCCTAAACCCAATGGTTTTGCTGATCATTATCCCTATTAAATGGCTATTTCATTGGGAATATACCCTATTTTCATCACCAAACCCATATGTGTTCTCGCTGTATTTTGTTGAAAGCATATCCGGGCCCTGAGGTGAACATGCCCGCGAAGCCGGTTTTGTTGACCATATCCCCAAGATCGAGGCGTCCGAAGATTTTTGTGGCAGAAAATGCTGGGTGGATACCTTGAAAAATGGTAATTTTCGATATGTTTTATCTATATTCATTATATTCTTTTATAGGGGAATATTGTGTTCAATCATAAGATTTTGATAGATTTTGGGGGTGCCCTATATTCAGACACAGCCAAGACTAAGACAAAACTACCACTAGATCTTTGGTATGATACATTATGATACTGTCCGTATAGAACCTAAATACTGTAATACTGAATTTCTGGTTACTCCGAGTTATTCCAGCGAACTCAATGGAGTGAGAGAGCTTTGATGGCTTTGTGTATGATGGCTTTGCGATGAGTTACATATTGTAGATACGCATACGATTTTTTCATGTCATGTCGTGATGTTGATTTATCAAGTCAAGTCAGAAACGTCGTAATCCCTTTCATGGGGCTGCCTCCACTCAGTGCAAAAAGTGAGGAAACATAACCAGCTGATGGGAACATAAAACCAGCTGGATCCAGGATCTCAGACAAAAAAAGCGATGTCTCCATCGTTGCTGTAGCAGAACATCCAATCGTTCGTCTTGCTTGATTCCCAATATCTTATAGTGGTGAAAATGTCAATGTTTCATCATGGTGCAATGTTAAAGCCAGAATTGATAGAATCATTAGTTGGCGGAAGTCCTCATGTATATTCCTTATGTTGTTGGTGAACATCTCCATGTTGAGTCCACAGACCCAGTCATTTTGCAGTTATATTAGCAACAACAACAACAACAACAGCAACAACAACAGTTGGTTACTTGGTTGATGATTATGGATGGTTACATACTACCCTTTATAACTTGATATTGATATATTGGGATTATCATGATCCATCACCAGGGAATGCCCCATGGCAACAAAGCATTAGAAGGATAGGTGTTCCATGGTGGTCCATCAAGTAGTACTATCTTCTAGGCAATCGGAATCCCCAACCATTAGCCATTAACATACCTTAGCCAACCAGTGGGGTTTTGACTATTCTGGCATATATAGTTAAGACATTCCCAACTCGTTTCCATGTATTGTAGGGGATGTACTAATACCATAGAACCATATACTTCTCATTAGTTTGGTGATTGTCCAATAGTGCAGAATTGGTTTAGGGAGATATCGAAACCGGAAAACAATCTTATATTTGGGAGGAACAACGACTTTCCTGTAGATATCCCTTTGAATCGATCCATTGACATTGCTTTGCATGTTTCCTTGATATTGTTAGTAGCTCCCACTGTAAATCCCCATCATATCCCCACGACCTCACTTCAATGATTGTTACTGCAGTATAGGAAACCATCTCCAAATCACTTCATGTCAGGTTTGTGAATTACTACAATTTATCCAGAATATGTATATATATATATATTTCTATCAAAGCTGGGATAATGATCCTAATTGACTTTGATTAATTTGAAGCCATGTGATTCCACGATCAATCAGCCATGAACTTGGGTTCTCATGGTGAATTGCGGAAGTTCCAATCTTAATCTAGCTTAACCATTCATAAATATTTATCCCGATCATTGGCCATTTTAAATGGCTAGTTGATCTTACCATCCTTCTCAGTTCCAATCTTGTCAGTTCCAAATCTTGGTTTCAGATGTCTAATTCTAATTTAATTACACATGTTGTTTTAGCAAGATTGATAGACTTGAACCATCTTTAACCACTTAAACTACCCATGAAATCACCTCTTAGTCATAGGTTGAACTTCCCATGGCCAGGTCGCAGCCCCCGTGGCGTGCCGTGTGGTGAAGACCTATCTTCCTGCCTTGCTGCCCGTTGGTCCTTTACTTGGCCCCGGGGCAGTGGCTGGGGATGGGTGGTTTGGAGCAGAAACACCATCGAGAAACGATGATGAAAAAAACATGTTGGTGGTTTGGAACATGTTTTATGACTTTCCAAATATTGGGAAAATTTAATCCCAACAAAAACAACAAAATAGAGGGGTTGAAACCTCCAACCAGATAACATGTTGATAGATGCGTTATATATATTATATACATATATATATATAGTGATATAATTATGTATAGTGAAATATACTAAGTATCACATGTCTAATTGACAAATGTGTTTGATTGACATACACATATCAACCTCTTGTGAGATATGTTATTTTTTTTGCGTAAGTCTTGGTTCTTTTTGGTTCTCGTCACTGATATAGTGAGTAGAAGGGAATTCACCTGGACTGGGGGTGATGGTGACACATGTCGACAGCCTCTGCAAGGTGCTGTTTGCATGTTGTTCCCATACGCGGACAAAGAGGTTGCTGCGGGAGGTTGATGGTGGTGAGAGTTCCCAGGGGTGGTAGGCAGCTGAACTGATCATTCCACTAGTTGAATTCCTTGCCTCAAGCATTGTATAGTGACCGTCACTACAATGGCGGGCCACCAGATTGCTTTCGCACACTTAGTTTGGACTCCTGCTGATTGATGATGGAACAAATGAATGTTTCTGGCTTAGTGCTTTTGAACCCCGGCGCCGGAGCTCTTATACTGTAGATGTGAGGGACAAACTATCACATCCCATGGCAAACTACCAAACTCAAAGCGCATATGAGATTCCGTCAAAAATTGCATTGAAGTATGTATTATGTATTGGAGTGAGCATCGAATCTTGATTTTTGCATGAAATCTTCTAAAGCGATACCCGACTCACCAAAAACGATAGGGGGACACTAATTTGATGATGCATTTGACCGAAACAATAAATTCAGGTCGTGGCTCATATTATAAATACCATGAATCTAGATGAGTGCCCCCAAATAAATGGATGATTTCACAAGAGAAGTCATTGGGAGGTCCCTTTTTCTCCCACCTGGCTGCCAGGTGAAGAAATTTGTCTTCGATGGCACTGAAGACTTTCTAGAGCTCTCGCAGGTGCCCCTGATATCAATGGAACCCGTCGATGGCGTATTCCGGCGATTTCATATGGCATGTTTTTAGCAGATTTTTGATGTTTCTATAATTAGGCAAAACATCATTCAATTATGTCCAATGATATATCATATTCTATAGATAGTTTTATAATGGTTTATAATGTTTTATATACATACACATTTTTTATATACATATACACACACACATGTTTCTGTGTGTGTGAAGTTAGGGTTTCTCTCCAAAATGAGTTGGCACCAAGTTGAAACCAACGTGGTGATGCTCGGCTAGTTGGTGAAAATCAAAGACCTCCCACACAGGTTGTGCATTCTCACTAGTATCCAAGTGCTAGTCAGACCATTGGCTTCCAGCAAAACGGACATTTTAGATCTGTCCAAAAGGTTGGGGACACACCATCTCGTCCCATCTCCATCAGTGAAAATGATCTTCGGGTCTTCGGAAACCACAAGCCGCGAGGCGTTCTTCCATCATGCTGCGTTCTCCTCTGGTGGTAAAGAATTGCTCTGCGACCTCCAGGCAGTGTCCTCTTGGTTGAAGGTATCTCAGTGGAGCTTTGTGGATGTCAATGGTGAATGAATGCTAATGGATTCCAATGAATTTCCAATGGATGTTCTTTTGTTGCGAGTTCATGGGAAATGTTAGACTAAGCAGCTGAAGACTATAGATAGTGTTGATTGTTTTTTCCTGGATACCTGGGATTAGCGAGGTGAATTGTGTGGGTTTGAGCATCGATATGCCATGAAACATGCCCATTAAATCCCCCTTAAATCCCCGTGAGAACCCACTTGAGAAAGGGTGTTGAAGAAGAAGATGGCAGTCTTTTGCTGATTGACCCGTGCGGAGTCCTGGCTTTGGAGAGTGGGCGGTTAATCTCTGCCTTAGGGCTACCTGGGAAAAATGGTGATTTATTGAGGTAGTTTAATGGAGATAAAATCTCATGGACTATTGTATATATGCAACCAACAAATACAGAAATGCCAACAAGATTTTGGGTGTTTATCAATTTTTGGGGCTCCTAGACTCATGAACACTGATATTTTTGGAATAAACACAAGTTAATCAACTATAAATAGATATACTGTACATATATATATATAAGATATTATAAGATTATATATGTATGTATTTCTGGTGTGTCCAATGTGTGAGAACCACCACTACATTGTAGAAAGCTGCAGAATCCGTAACGAAGATCCGACCGAGGTGCATCCTGCGCGGCAACAAGGTGACTGTTGGGAACCTTCTGAAGGGCGCCGTCCGCGAAGACAACTATGGTGAGGCCTGGAGGTCGCGAGGTTGATGTCTTTAACCCCCACAACTCCGGGATTTTGTTATGGTTTTTTCCACCATAGTTGTGACTGGAATACTACTGACCCTACTTGTGACTGGGGTGAGCTTACGCGCTTAGGAACTGGGTGAACCACCAAGTATGAAGTAGATTAATGTCAACCTAGCTGTTCTGTTGGGATGATTAAACCCATAGGGATACACGTCAACCAACTTCAACCGGTATTTCATGGGATGTCCTAACCCTCAAAGCGGCAACAGACATTGGTAAAAGGAGAAAACAACATTTGGTAAAACTGTTTTTCAGACACCATTTTTTATAGGTAGTCTCAGAACGAACGCATTTTCATCTTGGACACAACCAACATCTTCATCTTGGGAACCGCATCTTGAAAATGGAATGGCCAACATCCTAATAGATTCAATCCCTGGCCTTTATCTATCAGCTCCGGAATTCCCATTTTGGATCGATCCATGGATAGAAGTGGGAAATCAGTATTCCTACCATTTCTTACATATATAGTGTATGTGTGCATTTTTTTTTGCAAATCTTCGCCATGCCCTCTGCATCCTGAAGCTCTGCTGGGATGTGCTGGTGGGAGCTGATTCCGTGGACGCATATCGTACCGTAATGGACGGTAGGTGGTTCAAGAAAAATACTAGACCTCCATGCCAAAAAGTCAAACAAGGATCCTTGATTCACGTTCATGTGTGTTCAAGATTTAAACTTTGATTATGTAAACAGCTCAAAATATGTGAAAAAAGTATCCCCTCAACTACATAAGGTCTAGAGTACCCAGGCCTCCAGGCTTCAGGGGCCCAGGGTCTAGAGTACTTCCAGGAGCACTGTAGACCCTCTGCATTTAAGGTACTATAGACCCTTGAGCGTGTCTATGTTGGACATGATATATGGATGTCCCATAATTTTCAACTTTGAAGATGTAAGGCAGATCTTGTTTTTTCAAAGGTCTGGACAGCTTTTCTGGCAATCATCAGGACAGGTTGGTTTTGCTGACCATTGTAGCTCTAGACCTTTGCCAAGCTAGATTCCAAAGTTTGTCCAAAGGTCTGGACAGCGTTTCTGGCCTTGATCAACAGAGATTGGTTTTGCTGGCCATTGTGTTTCTAGACCTTGCCACGCTAGATTCATAAGATTTCATAAGATTTTTCCAAATTGTTATTCATAAGATTTGATAAGTTTTTTTCCAAAGTGTTATTCATAAGATTTCATAAGATTTTTTTTTTGCAAATTGTTATTCATAAGATTTGATAAGATCTTTTTTCCAAATTGTTTTTCATAAGGTTTCATAAGTTTTTTTTGCCAAATTGTTATTCATAAGAGTTCTTAAGATTTTTTCCAAATTGTTTTTCATAAGATTTCGTAAGATTTTTTTCCAAATTGTTTTTCGTAAGATTTCATAAGATTTTTTCCAAATTGTTATTCATAAGAATTCATAAGATTTTTTCCAAATTGTTATTCATAAGACTTCATAAGATTTTTTCCAAATCTTATTCATAAGATTTGATAAGATTTTTTTCCAAATTGTTATTCATAAGATTTCATAAGATTTTTTTCCAAATTGTTTTTCATAAGATTTGATAAGATTTTTCCCAATTGTTATTCATAAGATTTCATAAGTTTTTTCCAAATGTGAAAAACTTGTGACAGCAGCGAAGAAAAAAATGAGCGAGAGAAAACATGTTGTTTGGAACATTTTTTTGGTATGTTTGACGCATGGGTAAACGTCTTCAGACCTTCAGCATCTGTAAGGTCGAAGGGTCTAGACTATTGAGATTGTTTTACGTGATTTAGCTATGTAACTCTTCTTCAGACCCCGTTTTTAGGGTCTACAGTGTAAGATCCAGGGTCCCTGCCAGGTAGCTGATGGTATAAAAAAGTCATTTGAAGCTACCCAAGAATGACCTTGTTTCAGGTAGAGGAAACGTCCTGAATGATTCGAAATTCAAAGTCAAGAACAAATGGATAATTTTCAACGCAAACAACTGCATGATTGGTTCATTTCCATGAAATGAATCATGAAAACATGATGGTCCCAATGCCAAGTTACTCAGTATTTTTTCGCATGGACAGATGTGTTTTATTGTGTTTTTATTTGTTTCGCTTAATGATTAAATGTGCAGGCCGCCTGCCTGGGGCCCGTGGTGTCTCCTGCCCTGCAAAAATTTGATGTCCTGCATCCCAAGTGCGCACCCTTGTGCAAGGTGCCGCGGGGGGAGCATGCAGTTATGGGTGTATAGTGTCTACGTGTATGTATATATATATATAGTTATATATATATATAAGACACAAGTAAGAGCAAACTAGTTTCAAATAATTATGTGGCTGTGAGTCAAAACGTTTGGGCAATTTTCACAGGTGCTACTTGTAGTGGACATTCCGTTCCATGCTCCGTGAAAAACATCTGCCATGCTGGGACGAGGTCGCCATTGTTTTTGCCATTGTCGTTTGCGTCGTCTCACATTCAACACATTGAACACATTGAACACATGGAAGAACAGAACGTCTCAGATATAGACGGCAATGTCAAGTCCTTTCACACATATATATATATATGTATATATATATACATACCATATATGCAAAACCATACACATACAATATGATCAAATATTAGATATATGGAATCCGGTCAAAAACCTGTAAGGAAAAAATCAGACCAAAATCATGTAGCCCCTAACCAGGACAACGCGACTTTGGCAGAGTCCCGGGCATTTCGACATTTCGATGTGCCACCAGATAGATGCTTAATACAAAAATCGCACTTTTGTTTTGTTGATTTTTGTTGACTATTTACTTGTCTCAAATAGTTGGAAATTGCAAGTTTCTCTCACACTTGTGGGGCCCATGCCACTTTGTATGTGGCAAGAAAATTGTATTGAAACTACTTTCACTGGGATACAGGATAGCACTAATTAGTGAAGAGGCTTCCATCCCACTTCGAAGGCCTCCCATTGCCATCTAAAGTAAGTACACCCTGAAAGGTGGTGTCCTGATCACCAAGATCTTGAAGTGGTGAATTTCTATGGCGTTTTCCATGGGGATTTACCCGGTTTGTTTATTCCATTTTATGCTGCCTTCAGCTGACGGGTGGCGAGATTCCATCGCTCGGATCCTGTTTCAGACCTTCCACAGGTTCCTCACATGTCATCACTAGCTTTCAGTACTGAAACATGGCAACAGATGATTTTCCAAACCAGAAAGCTCCATGGATCTCCATGGCTAGTTCGGGGATTACTCAGCTTGCCGATTAAGTATCCATTCTTATCATTGACTCACCATATTATTCACTATGATGTTCATTTATTTCGCCATTCAATTCCTATTAAATCCCATGGAAAATCCGATGGAAAATCCCGATTAAGTCCCATGGAAAATCACCACGTATCATTGATTCACCACTCTAATCAATGAACATCCCAGGTTTGTTTGGAACATGTTCTATTTTTCCATTCAGTTGGGAATGTCATCATCCCAACTGACGAACTCACTCCATCATTTTTCAGAGGGGTAGGTTGGCCCCCACCAACCAGTAGGCCTTTGATCCGCATCGCAGCAGCGCCCGGGGAGCTCAGATGTCGTTGGTGAAGCACTGATGAACAACGAAAAACGATGTGGAAAAGCCATGATTTCTCAATCATATGGTTATTATATGTTATTCTATGAAAATGAATGAAAATGATCTTTGTTAATGATTGTTAATCTGTCTTAGTGGATTTACCACATTCATGTTAGTTTGCTGGAGGGTAATGACATGTAAAAAACATGAATAACCGTTGAATAATGATTTACTCCTTCATCATTGAATTTCTGCCGTAAGATTTGTGTTGTTGATATTGTGAGTATTGTACCAGGTATCATTCAAACCAACTTCAAGACCGCCACAATACTCCCGCTTGCTGATGCACATGTTTTTTCCCCT